AAAACCCCAAAACCCCAAAACCCCATAAGCTAAATAGGTTTTTTGAGAGTTATATCGGGAATAACAGAAATTGTTAAAATTATAATTTTTAGCTAAATTACTATAACAATGAATTCGATTTTTATAAGTTACTTATTAAAATCTTAATTTATCCTCCTTCATGGATTCTGCACTAGTCTAATATGATATATAATTAGGGGTATGTATTTTGCTGTAAGTAGTATTCCTAGTAGCAGTTGTGGTTGTTTGTGCTAAATCAGGTAAAAAGCTAGATAGATCAGCAAAGATAGCCATAATTATACTTATTTTCAACATGTTTATCTACACCTATAACTGGATTGGACTGTATCTATATTATAATGACTTGTATTACCCTACTGATACTCAAGAATATGTCGATTAAATATTTGATATGCTCGGAATTGCTGCATCTAATGCTTTAATTGTCTACTTTTGCTTTGAGATGAGGGTAGTTTATTTAAAATTTGAATGTGCTACAATTAGATAATTTTACTAACAAAGACAGAAAAACTTTCGATTAAGGAATATAATTTTATTCTTTGTATTATTAATAGCGACATCTTTAAACTTGACTGAAATTATACTCTGGGATAATCAAGAATTAAAAACGTTCAGCTATTATAAAGTACTGATGGCGGCAATTAGTATTATTAGCTTCTTTATGGATCTGGTTATATTATGTTTTGTAACAAAATATTTCTTGTTTTTTGTAAATCAAAAATTACATCAACTCCTATCTAGAGAATAACTACCTAGCAGAAAGTTTAAAGCGATTGTAATCTGGGTATTATTTCTATTTTTATACCAACTGACAGAAATCTTTATCAAAGTTATCATGAGAAATATCATTAGTGATGAATTTCTGCTTTGGAGAGATGATGTTTACACTACTATCATTCTCCTCTTTTATAATGTTGAAGAGTTTTTAATTGGAATAACTATGCTATACCTTTTCTATCACTAGAGTAAATTAAATTTAAGAACTAGAAGTGGGACCTCAGCTTCAATGTTTGATGAGAGAGAAGAGGATTCTTAGAATATAATAGATCTTCTAAATGTGAGTCGGAATGCAACAGTAATGTTTGGTAATCAAAATGATAAATAAAACATCAATCATAAAGATACAAAGCAAATATAATAAAATCTTCAATATCCTATCAATCTATCAAATAATCCTTAGGGTATATATTCTGTTCAGACTTCCTAATAGAGGACTAAATTAGTGGCATTACCATAGTCCCCCGATAGCGATGATGAATATGAAAACAGCATATCCCTTCTAAGTGACTTTTAGAAATTTCTAAACTCCCAGCTTAGCGGAAGATCTATAAAAGTTTCATCCAAACGATAATTGCAAAAATAACAGTCTCAAATTAATTGAAAATCTAGGTAATTTCCATTTTAAATGGTAAATTAACTACACTTGATGTTAATAAGGCTATTATAGCAAGCTGATTTATTCATTAATATTTATTTCTTAATCATTCATAATCAGATTTCATATAATTTCTAATAAATTGTCCCTCTGGGGTTTTGGGGTTTTGGGGTTTTGGGG